CCCCCTCGGCCGACTTGGTGAACGCTTGACCCGAAAGTGGCCCCGAGACGGCACCGAGATGCCCCATGGACCCGGAATTTTGACCACCGCTATGCCGGGTGCTGGGGGTCTCTTCGGGCCATCTTGGGCCACTCTTGGGCCGCTCTGGGGCCCCGGAGAAGGCCCCGAGAGGACCCCGAGCGAGCTCAAGAGAGGTCCAAGAAGGCCACAAGAGCGGCTCCATGTGGGCCCTCGCACCCGGCCGGCATTTTGACGGCTGCTGAAAATGGCGGGTGCAGGGTCCCCCTTGGAACCCTCCTGGGGCTTTGGGGGGCCGCTCTTGGGCTACTCTTGAGGTGCCTGGGGCTCGGCGAAGCCCCCGAGAGAGCCACAAGCGGGCCCAAGAGAGCTCCAAGAAGGCCCCAAGAGCGGCCGAAGAGCACTGCATGATCATGCAGTAATATTGGGGTTCTCTTGCAGCGCTTGTGGGGCTATTAATTTGCCTATCTTGGGCCCTGGAGAAGTCTCCGAGAGAGCCCCACGACAACTTCCATGGGGCCTTCGAGAAACCTCGGAGAGAGCCCCACGAGCCCTCCCAGATGGCATCTCAGGGCCTCGGGGGCGTGCGGCTCATTGGGCACAGAGGGCTCGTCAGACTGAATGGGCTCGGAAGCTCGTAATGCGCAGGGCTCGTGGGCCCCGTGAGGCTGATAGGGCCGATAGCCCTCATAGGTCCCGCGAGACTCATTTGGGGGTCATCTGGTGGGTCTGTGAGTGCTGATTACAATCAAAGGTCTCATAGGGCTCGTTGGGCTCATAGGGCTCTTAGGCTTCATATGGCTCGTAGGGCTCATAGGGCTCATAGAGCGCACAGGTGTCATGGGACTCATGAGGGCTCATAGGGTTCATGGGGCTCATGAGGCTCATAGGGCTCGTAGGGCTCATAGGGCTTATAGGGTTCATATGGCTCGTAGGGATCATAGGGCTCATAGTGCGCATAGGTCTCATAGGAGTCACGAGGGCTCATAAAGCTCACGGGGCTCATGAGGCTCATGGGGTTCATATGGCTCGTAGGGATCAAAGGGCTCCCTAGGCTCATCGGGCTCAGAGGGCTCATAGGCATGATGGGGCTCAACGGGCACATGAGGCTCATAGGGGTCATAGGACGCATGGGACTCACGGTGCTCATGGGGCTCAGAGGGTTCATGGGCTCACAGGGCTCATAGGGCATAGTGCTCATAGGGCTCATGGGGCTCATGATGCCCAGATGGGTCATAGGACTCATAGGCTTCATAGGACTCACTGGACGCATAGAGTTCATATTGCTCATAGGGCTCATAGCGCTCGTAGGGATCATGGGGCTAATGGATGTAATAGGGCTCATCGGGCTCATATTGCTCATAGGGCTCGTAGGACTCGTAGGGTTCATGTGGCTCATAAGGACTCGTAGGGTTCAGGGAGCTCAGAGGGGCGCATAGGGCTCGTAGGGCTCACAGGGCTCATGGTGTGCATAGGGCTCGTAAGATTCATAGGCCTCACAGACAGTGCTCATAGGGATCATAGGGCTCATAGAGTTCATATGGCTCATAGGGTTCATAGGGCTCACAGAGCGCGTATGGCTCATGGGGCTCATGAGGGCTCATGGGGCTCGTGAGGCTCATAGGGCTCATGAGGGCTCAGAGGGCGAAGGGGGGCTCATGAGGGCTCATAGGGCTCAGGAGGCTCATAGAGCTGTTAGGGCTCATAGGGGGCGTAGAGTTCGTATGGATCGTAGGATTCCGAGGGCTTATAGGGCTCAGAGGGCCCACAGGGGCTCATAGGGCTCGTGGGGCTCATAGGGCTCATGGGGTGCATAGGGCTCATCTACACCATCGGGCTCAGAGGATTCATAGGGCCCATCCGGCTCATGGGGGTCATGCGGCTCATAGGGCTCACAGGGCTCGTAGGGCTCATGGGCTCATGAGACTTGTAGGGCGCACCGGGCACATGGGGCTCACAGTGCTCATAGGTTTCATATGGTTCGTAGGGTTCATAGGGCTCATAGGGCTCATAGGGCTGACAGGGGCTCATAGGGCTTGTAGGATTCATAGAGGTCATGGGGTGCAGAGGGCTCATAAAGCTCATAGGGCTCATAGGGCGCATAGGGCTCGTAGGCCTCATGGGTTTCATGGGGGTCATAGGGCTCATAGGGCTCGTGGGGGCTCATAGGGATCCTGTGCCTCGTACGGCTCTGAGGGGTCATAGGGATCAAAGGACGCATCGTGATCGGAGGGCTCATAGGGCCCGTTGCGCTCATTGGGCTCATCGGGCTCATCAGGGTCCCAGGGCCGAAGGTATGAACGCGGCGCTAGAGCAAGAGCCAAAGCATCTAAGATATAACCTTGCGAAGATCGATGAGTGTGGCCTCTCGGGGCCTCGGCGGGGCTTGGTTTGGAGCTCTTTGGGGCCGTCTGGCGGCCCTCCTGGCCCGCTGCGGGGCCTTCTTGGGCCGTCCTGGAGGGTGTGGGCCGTCCTGGTGCCTTCTTGGGCCCTTTCGGGAGCCTCTTGTGGGCCTTCTGGGGCTGTCTTGGGAGCTCTGGGGGGTTCTCAGGGCCTCCATGTGGGCCGTCTTGGGGCCGTCTTGGGCCGTGTTGGGGCTCTTTGGGGCTGCCCTGGGGCCCTCTTCGGGACTTCTTGGGCCGCATTGGGGCGATCTTGGGGTCTGGCTAGGCCGTCTTGGACGCTTTGAAAAACAAAGAAAGGACTATGCAGAAAATGCACGTTTCTTTGTTCTGAGGAATGTGATTATTTGTGCCTCTTGGGGATGCCCCTGGGGGGCCTCTTGCAGCATCTTGGGAGCTTCTTGATCCGACTTGAAATCACTTTGGGCCCTCTAAGAGCGCCCATAGGCTGCTCTTGAACGGTCTTGGGCCGTCTCGGGCCTCCGCGGGACCTTCCAGGAAACGATCGTGGGCCCGCCCTAGCGGCGTAGGGTGGCCCCGAGGGGCTGCCCAAACCGGAAATGTTCGTTGCACGTCAGTGGGAGCGCCCAGGGCCGAAATTATGTACGGGGGGGTCGTTATAAGAATATTCGAAAAGGAAAACAGATACAGCAGTGTCTACAAATGTAAAATATAAATGAAAAACCAGCAAGCAAGTGCCGCATGTGAGAAAAGGAACCGTCCTCCATCCCTGTATATGCTGCCAACGTTCAAAACGAATGCGCGCGGCGCTGAAGCGAGAGTCCCATTGTGAGAAAACTGCTGCGAATCGTTTGAACGAATGCGCGCGGCGTCAAGGCGAGATTGCGCTTTTGAAAACAAAGGGCCTGCCCTTCTTTCCTGTAGCTGCTGCTGACTTGTGAGACACACGCGCGCAGCGCTAAGGCAAGAGCCCCATGTTGAGAAAAGAAAGCTCCCAAAGTCCTCGTAGCTGTTGCAAACTTGTAGGGGGAACTGCATGCGGCACTGAAGCGAGAGCCACCTATTGAAAACCCCCAGTGCATCCTTGTGACCGTTGCACGCCTGTGAAACGAACGCGCGCGGCGCTGAGTCGAGAGGCCAAGTTTGAAAGGCAGCTGTCGCCTCGCTATCCCTGTAGCCGCTGCAGACTTCTACGACGAATGCGCGCCGCGCTGAGGCGTGAGACCAACGCCTGAAGAAAAAGCACCCACGCCTGAAGTCTCAGGCGAGACGCCCAGCCCGCCCTGCCAACACATCTGGGGGCGCGACACGGAGGAGCTATCTTTGAGGAAACGGGATGGGGGGGGATGAGGCGAGCGACGGCGGAACTCAGCATGAGGCCTCGGCAGCTACGGGACCCGAGGAGGACGTCTCCGCTGGCTCTCTGCCAGACGGAGGAAGCAGGAAACGGCAACAGCCAGCCTAACCCCTAGCGGGGACGCAGGCCTGCTGGAAGCGCACGGAATCCTGAGGGGCAGGGAGAGAAAGGAAGAGGGAGAGGGAGGAGGAAAAGGGAGGGAGGGGACGGAGGAGAGGGAGGGAGGGAGGGAGCAGGGGAGGGGGAGGGAGGAAGAGGGAGAGGGAGGAAGGAGGACGCCAGACAAGGAGGGGAGGGGAGGACGCGAGGCCGGGAGGAGGGGAGAAGGCGAACGGGGAGACCAGCAAGGCGCGCTCGCGCCACACCTGGCATCCTCCTCCTCCTCCTCCTCCTCCTCCTCCTCCTCCTCCTCCTCCTCCTCCTCCCCTCCTCCTCCTCCTCCTCCTCCTCCTCCTCCTCCTCCTCCTCCTCCTCCTCCTCCTCCTCCTCCTCCTGGACTTGATTGGACAGGACGCCCGAGAGGACACAAGATCCTTCCAAGGGTCACATTGCCATAGGAATGTAGGAGGCATGGGTCGCGAGACACAGGACACAAGGGTACTCTTGATTTGGAAGGGTCGACCTGCTAATCAGGGCCGACTGTACCCCTCTCTCCCAACCCTTCCCAATTGGGCTGTCCGTTCTCTCCCGCGGACGCGTGTCCGAGCGGGTCAGGAACTCCCAAAAAAGACCCCTATCGTGTTATGCGCAGTCGGGCACAAAGAGCTGCGTACGCAGGATGAGGAGGTGGCGGGTGACAGGAGGATGAGCAGGAGGAAAGGATGAGCATGACGAAGAAAAAGGACGAGGACGAACAGCAGCGCCTGGAGTGGAAGGAGCGGGAGGAGCAGGAGAACCACGGGAAAACGGAGGAGTGGAAAGGAGGGGCGACAACAATGAGCAAGGACTCGGATTCAGAAAATCGGCCCGCGCTGTGTCGAGAGCGCCATTCTGGGCGGCGGGATCAAACCCGCGATCCTAAAATGATGTCCACGTTGCAGCGGGAGCAACATTCTCGAAGAACCGAGAACGTTCGGACGGGAAGCAACACATGTGAAAATCCAACTCGGCCCCACTCGCGCTACTCTCAGCACGCTTCCGGGGGAGAGAGGAGAACAGCACTGCGATTGAGAAAGTGGGAAGGGGAGAAGAGGAGGGGATGGGGGGGAATCGAGCCCCGATCGGCGCTTCGAGGGCTCTCCGAGCCCCCCCCCCTCCCCGTCCTTGACGGCCGTGGCCCCCGCAGCCTTGGTAGTCTTTGCGGCCGCCTTCTTGGTGGTCGCCGCGGCCGCCTTCTTGGTGGTCGCCGCGGCCTCGCAGGCCGAACATCTTGTCAGAGCACGCCATGGCGAAGGCAGCTTGGACATCCGACAGAAATCCCAGCTCCCCCTCCCTTCTTGGGGGAGGAGGGGGGAGGAGGAGAAAGAAGCGACACCAAAACTCAGAAACATGGGCTGCACACGCTAGCTCACAAGCTAGCATTCAGAGAACACTCAAGCCTGTGTTTTTTATTTTCATATATATATATATACTATTATGTACACCATATGGTGTGAAAGTTCTATTGGTATGTGTATACGTATGCACACACGAACGAAACAGGCACAAACATACACCAACCGAGAACAAGGAACATGACATCCAAAAAACAAACCCACCAAAAACATGAAGATGCACGTTTACATCTGGATCATATGAGAGAACTTCATGCACACACACACACACATACACACACACACACGCCGGCCTTCTTGTGGGCCCCCAGGCTGCGCGGACTAGGCTTGCTGCTCCCTGCACTGGTTCCAATTTCCAATCTCCGATGTTATAGTCCTTCTTTCTACATCCGGCTGTAAACTGTCAAAGTCCGCGCGAGGGGGAGCCCCAAGTGATCCAATGTACCACGCCGCCTGGCTACTTTTGGGGTGGCATGGGACACATAAACATACTTGACATTCGCGACCCCGAGACCTTAAACCCTCGCACATTACACAACATTCGCGTCCCCGGGGCCATAATCTTTGGTAAGTTACACGATGGTCGCGTCCCCGAAACCGTAACCCTTTGTAAATTACCAACTAGTTGCAACCCCAAGGCCATGACCCCTTGCAGATTACACAATGTTCGCGCCCGTCGTAAAGTATGCCAGACTCGCGTCCCCAAACCACGACCCCCCGCACATTACACACGATTCGCGTCCCCGAAGCCACGATCCCTAATCGAATTACGCCACGCCTGCGTCCTCGACGTCATAACCCCCCAAAAAATTACGCAACGTTCGCGTCCACAGGCCACGATTCCCCGTAAATTGCAAATTCCTCGCGCCCAAAAAGCCACGATCCTGTTCCGAATTACGCAACACTTGGGTCCTCGAAGCCGTGATCTCCCGCAGTAAAGTATGCTATATGCGCGTCCTCGAGCCCATAAGCTCTTGGAATTCCAACTCAAGCTGTGGTGTTGGGTCCTCGTTTTGAAGAGACGGTCCCCGCGTCCCTCCTCCTGCTCCTCATCCTCCTCCTCCTCTTCTTCCTCCTCCTCCTCCTCTCCCTCCTCCTCCTCCTCCTCCTCCTCCTCCTCCTCCTCCTCCTGCTCCTCTTCCTCC